AGGCAGGCTAGTATTTTAATAATGAAAATAAAAAGTAAATGAAGAGCATGGCTTTCTTACTTGTCTACACATCAGTTAGTTTAAAACTGAGCTTTGGTGATTCTTCAATGGTACTTTTTGTTTTGTTTTGTGGTACCTGGAGTTAAACTTAGGACCTCATCCATGCTAAGCAAGCACTCTACCACTGACCACTATCTCTGGCCCCACACACTTCTCTCTTACGTTTCCTTAATATTTCTTAGAATAGTATTGATACAATCAGCCTAAAGCCAAACCATGCCAATGGTATTATCAATAGTTATAAGGCCTAAAAGAAACACTGCTGAAAGCATTTCTAAGCTCCAAAGCTGTGATTTAGCAGGTACTCATGGTATCGATTCCTGTGGCTTCATCATACATTGGAATATAAGACAAAAGCTAATACAGTACTGGCAAGAGATGGGGCATCAGTTAGGACAGAATTGTATGTGAAAACAGTCAAAAGCAAACTGTCCCCTGCCTTAGGAGGCAAAACTTAGAGGAATAAACATCTACAATGTCCCTCCCAGTGTTACTGATGCTTATGTTCTTCTGTTCATTCCTGGGGTGGGGGTGGGGGTACTGTCATGTGCTTTACAGGGGCTAGAGCAGCACCTCTGACATCTACGCTCTAAATCTGGTGGTCTTCTTCCTAAGTTCAAGAACAATGCTATCCCTAGGCATTGGCAATTGTTACCAAGACAGGGATTGGGGGGCCCTAGAGCACTGCCCCAATATAAAACCACTGATTAAGAGGCAAAAGGAAAGTATTAGAAGTTTAATACAGTTTATCCTCTAGAATCTAAGCCTCTAGAAAAATGCCCAAATGCATTTTTTTCTGTTGAAAGACATGGGTAGAAAGAAAATAACCATACTCTATTCTCTAAACCTGTGCCTAGTTATAATAATAATAATAATAATAATAATAATAATAATAATTAAGGTCATGTTCTACTTCGTAAATCTGAATACCCAAGTAAATCTAATTTTTCTGATAACCAAACACAATGCATCTGCTGTTACAGAGTCACATTCAAGATGAGAATATGGTATAGAGTACCAAACGGTTGAGTGTGGCAAACACAATTTACAGCATGTAACTTTTCAAAGGTGCTTATTGTTCCCATCTACTTCCTGCCATTATCTGAAGGGAGCATTAACAGATACTAATAGAGCTATGGCCTCTACAGGGGTACTCTTTCAGCTACTCCTCTGGGGCAGACATGTCTTTAGTCTTATAGCAATCCAGGTCCTTCTGTACTGGTTTACATGCAAAAAGTAAGATTACTGTGAATTTCAATTTCTTCTTACAATCAAATAAAAATGATAGCTTAGAATTATATTAGAAGAATCATCTTAAACACCACTACTGAAATAAGGACAAGCATATGCACTCTTTAATATTTTCTTCAATCTAAAATAATTATTTTCCTGGAATTTCATGCTATTTAGACCTGAGAAAATGGAATAAAAAAAATAAAGCATAACTTGTTAGTGCAACACTTGTTAGTGCTTTGCTGAGTAGCAAAGCAGGATGCACCCAGATGGATTTCTACACTAGGACTTTTCAAACCTCAACACACAAATCTTCCAATCTTGTTAAATTCAAGGTTGTGATTCCACACTTCTGGTAGAGAGTGAAGGAGGAAAAAGTGGGTGAGGTGTGGTGGGGAACAGCACTCTGTACTTCTCACAGTTCTACCAGTGATGCACGGGTTTCTAGTCTGCAGCTCACTTAACAAAGGTCTGATCTACCATGAAAAGCAGTTTACGCAGCCTCCAGAACATGGTAGAAGAAAATCCCAGATTGACTTAAGAACAAGTGAGGAGATACCAGCTTCTCATTCAAAACATAAGTTCCCAGTTTTACTTTTCTTCAGGGGTAAGTTGTCAAAATTTGTAAATACCTGCTTTTAGGTTTTACCAGAAAATATTATAAATTTCTGCCCCAATTTGACATTTCCCACATCTAAAATCTATACCAATACTCTATATATTTGCATACTAATAGATGCTATCTAAATATGCTAAAGAACATTTTAGAAGCATACATCTGTACTTGTTTGTATAGAGAGAAATTAGGGGTTACATTAGAAGCATAGCACCTTTCTAAACTTCGAGTTTCTACAAGCTGTGCCAGTAAGACATGGTCACCCTTTTACACATCACTCTGCAGTCATAGCAACAGGTTTCTCTAAAAGCAGAGCAATGCACACACAATTTTCTTTCAACATCACTAGCATATGATTATTTATAGCCTAATCTGAAGCCTGGATGGCCAAACTATAAATGCAAACCAGTAAGTAAACAGTGCATCAGTGGACTAATCTTCACGGGCAACCTGCTTGGTCTGAAGTCACCTAGGAGACATGCCTCTAGCCATGTCTGTGAGGATATTTCCCAAGAGAACTGAGAAGGAAGTCCTATCCAGTCTGCGAGTAGCAGCATCTCATAATTCCAAAACGGAAACACAGTCAAATCACCGGAGATAACAACTTTATCAATGTTCTTATTACCAGGGGGGAAAAAGGAGGAATCTACCAACCTATCATCAAGTTTACTTAAGGGCATACAATTCAACAATTAAATCAATACCTGATCATCTGGGTGACTAGATCTAACTAAAGAATGCTAAATAAAGGGGGAAATTAAAGAAAAATCTTCCTAGTCTGAGTAATAAGGCTTCTCCCCCCAAATTTTCTTGCATTTCATTCAATGTTTTGCTTCCTGAGATAGACAGATATATGATAGCCTAAATAAAAAGTAAATTTAAAGCATACAATCTCCATTAAACTTTACAAGAAACATTTAAACACCTTTGAATTTTGAGAACATAGTGGTGTTCTTTCCCAGATCTGACATGAAAGCAAAAAAAATATAATACAAATTTAGGCTTCTCTCTCAAAATTCAACATTGCCTGCATTAAAACAATCTGCAAAGTTCCTACCTAGTAAGGAGCAGATCTTCCACACAAAATCAGACATACCGAAGTATCTGGTCTTTTTACAAGTAAGGCATATAAAAGAAAGCCTAACTTTAAAGTGCTAACAAACGATGTATAATGCACACTTTTTTCTAATTCCTTATGCAGCAGCAAAAGAAAGTCAGGTAGTAAAGAAATGGAGAACTGAAAGGCATCATCTGCAATACTGACAGCTATCAAGCCCAGCGAGGGAAAACAGACACAACTGCTGTGTACAAGCACAAGCAGAGCCTCAAGTTCTCTCCAGTCTAACTGCCAAATGCCAAGCACTATCTCATGGACTGATACACAAAAGAAAACTTCAGGACAAATCAAACTCGTTGCACCACAAAAAGGTTCTATTTCCTCTAAAATACTCCTTGGTGACCTTGTGGAAACATCCTGCTTTAATGTACAAGCTGTTTTCATGACCACTACAGCTCTGCTCAGAGGGCATTCAACACATCTACCACACTCTGTAGACTTAGTCCTGTCCCGTGGATTTTGCTATTTGCAGAAAAATCAACTACTTTTGTAAATGTTTGATCTTACTCAAATTTTTAAATAGCAGAAATTTTTCTCTGATCTTTACATCTCTCATACTGGGAGAAATAAGTATATATGTTGTAAATGAAGTTATTCTTTCAGAGAGCAAACAACTTGACCTTCTTAAATGAACACAGATTCCACAGACCATTTAAGAGGGTGGACAGAAATACCTCAATTTACTTACTTTGAAAGCAGCAAAAATGCAACATTAGTCATTCATAATTAGTCGTAAATTCTCTAACAATAAAAAAATGAAACTTTTAAATTTATTTTTATTTTATTAAACATAGCCACAATATTATCACTTCAACATGTAAAAGCAAAATTTTATGCTCTGCTAAGCTTTTAAAATCCGGTGCATATATCACACTCTTAGCATGTCATTTTGAACTAGCCACAAGTCACCAATAGCTGCATGTGGCTAGTGGCTACTGTTACTGGATAGCATAGCTCATAACTTATACTTTAAGGTTAGACATACCTACTTTTAATAAGCAAACTATTAATTCATTGGAAAATGCAGAATCAGATCACCTTATCAACAGAGCTGATTAGCAAACACAGTAAGAGGTCAATGGATTGCATCTGTGTTTATGGATAACTTCAGAGATCTGTCTGATCAACACAAGCCAACTACAGAATTTGTAGCAGAAATGGATTAAACACTGAGAGATTTTCCTGCCAAATTGTAGCATCACTTCAACTGTACCAGCAACTCTCTATGCAAATTATTTAAATGTATCTAAATTTGATTCATTTCATAAGCTATATAATCACTGTTCAAAAATTTTATAAGTAACATATAACTAACAAACAAACAAAAAGAGACAAAAAAAAAATGCTCCCAATAGCTGCTTGGGTTCCAGTGAAATTCTTTTCACAATTACAACTTACTTACTACTTACTGAGAATTTTCTCAAGTAATTAGGACAGCTGCTTAAAACGTAAATAATTCCAACAACGCATCCTCCAGAAAAACAACTGAAACCAATCGTTTAGCACATAAAATTTACCCTTAAGGCAAGTTGCTCAATAAATCAAAAAGAACCGACTATACTCTTGGTTTACTGCATTTACATTTTCTAACACTGCATTCAGCAATTTCTAAATTTGGAAGGTCAGTTCAGATTGCACACAGACAGTTCTTTAAAGCTGGAAATTTTAGAAATCACTGAATTATGGTTGTGAACAAAAACTGCTCATAGGCAAAAAGTAAGCACCATCACACTAGTTTCAGAAGCACACAATCCTGTACTCATAAGCCCACAATGTGTACATACATGCTAGAGTATCTTTCCTCTCCTTTTATTTCTTTAATCTAGTTAGTGTACTTTTAGTTTGTGCACTTCAAAAGATAAAAGGAAACAAATGAAGACAGCTCCTTGGGCTGCACGTATACTCAGGCAAGATCACTCATCTCTCAATATTTTTCCACAACTCACAATCCAAACAACAAAATTTGTTTCTTACCTGCAGTTAGGAGGAGGATCAAGGGTGATCTCAGCTAGCTCCTTCTGAATTCTGTTAGTGAAATGAGAACAAACAAAAAGGATCTGAGGTAGTCTACAGAATAACCGGGGAATTACACTGCCCTCTACCACCATGCAGTTAAATGCAAGGCTGGCTTTGCCTTCAGTAATGCTAACATGGCTGCTTCCTCTTTGTTCTCAGAGGCATAACCCAAATCCCTTAGCAGAAACTTTGCAGCTCTTTTTCTCACGTGCAACTGTAAATAAGTGTGTTGTTTGCACCTGATTTAGGAAATAGCCCCTTCTGACTACTCAGTGAAGGATATATAATCTATTAAAAAACATGTTTCACCAAAGAAATTCTCTTTTCAAGCTTATATGCAAATGAGACAAAAAGGGAGGAGGGAAAACACCAGAGAATTTGACAATGATTTCAAGTCACTTTTTACTGAGCTAAAAATTAATAGACTGCTACAAGAGCACATTAACGGTTTGGGCAATATTTTAGCTGCCAGAAAAGTTTAAAATTTATAAATATCTTTGCCAACGAAAATTTCAAACTGGCATTCGTATCAGCTGAGTGTCTTCTCTGATTTTAGATACACCTTTAAGGGTCAATAAATCTGCAGTGGAGAAGACAGATAAATATATAAGCTAAAGTTATAAGCAAAAGGCAACTGGCCGATTTTCTTCAAATTCAGGGCATTTTTCAAAACTCAGAACATGTTTAATATATTCCTCCACGAGATTATAACAAATTGGACACGTCAGATTATTTCAAATACTGTTCCTGGTGAATAAAATATTCTAAAGCTGTTAGCATTTGAGCAATGGTTAAGATCCATTCAAAAAGTTTGAATCACAATCAAAATGTAACATTTGATCAGTTTTTACATTTTTCTTCCTTCATTTATGTTCAATAAAAATCAATGAAACACCTGTCCTGGGTAAGGTGGGGGGTACATTTCACCTTAATCACTAGTTTCGCTGGATATCCCAACACTGCTACCACCAGGAGCCCCACTGGCAGACTCTTTTCAGTCACCACAGAAAATAGGAGTCAACAGAGAAAACCTTATCTTCCACTTGCACTCAGCAATGTTCCCCTGTCGTTAACCTGTCACGCTCATCCACAGCGCTCCAGTGACGAGTGGAGGAGGAAGGACAAGGGTGTTTTTAGTCACTAGGTCACACCTAAACTGTAACCAGCTACTTCTGAGTTGTATCTGCCCTCACAAGAAGGTGGGCTAACAATAACTTACCCACAGTCACACCTGTGCTGCAAGATTTCCAGTCCTCTTCATACAAATTGTAAAGCCAATTTAAAGCACACTTTAAGGGCTGCTTCCCACTATAGCCAAGCCTGGTGTTTACCAATTTTCTGGTAAATATTGTCATTTCTGACCATTCAATTTTATGGAAAGCACTGCTGATCTCTAGAACTGTCAACTTCACCCAAGAATGACTCACAAAAGGAAACCTCTCCAATGGACCATCTAATTTGGGTTCACCAATTTTCCTTGCCAACCCCCTTCATCTGTCAGAATGAGCCCCAGCTCTTCTTGAGGCGACCCTCCAGTTACCATAGTACAGAACAAGGAACACTTGCTTTAAAGTCAATAGTGGTAGGGAAACTGCGTATATCCCACATACAGATTGACAGCTCATTCAAGTTCAAATACGTTTGATGGAGAAGTATTTCTGAACCATTGCCACTGAAGTTAAGCCAACAAAAGCAACCAATGGGAAGGGAACCTGACAATGTGAGTCCTCCCTTGTAGACGGTTACCTTTTAGCACTAGTGGATAACTTAGCAGTCGTTTTGCTAGAGAGTTTGGTGTTTTTCTTCTGCTGGGTGGCAGAAGGTTTTCTTTCTTCCTGTTCCTCAGGCTCTGGAGCAGCAGGGTCTCGCTGGTCTGCATCTGAACTGCCACTGCTGGTGCTGGGGCTCTCATCATCCGACCTTTGCCTATCACTGGACATCTTGGTGAAGTTATCTCTGGGAAAACTTCTAAGGAGAGAAGGGACCCATAGAGAAATATTAGGTCTTTAAAAAAAAAAAAGAATCAGCAACATGCTCCTCTCTCAATAAGCACCACTGAGAGTATTTTATTGAAAAGGATTCGAAAGACCCTGTACTTATGGTACAGGAAGGTTACAGGGAGCCTGATATGTATTATAAGGCAGGCGTTGAAGGATTTACCAAATGCAAGTTAGAAAACCCACTCACATTTTTTTCCCAACCCTTAGACAATCTATCAATTGTCTACTTTCTCAGAAGGCATGAAACAGATTTGCCAGGGAACTTGGGCAACGGGCATTAATAACATATGACAACTGTAAATAACAGATCTCGCTGAGAATGTTCCGAAGTCACTAATACCGTCTAAATATTTACAGGCTGACACCGGTCTGAGCTACCAAATCCTCCTTCCCAGAGGGAAACATACCCTGTTAGTCGCCCATATGCTTATTTACGGTGGCGGGTCCTCCCGTGCGCACCGAAAGCCTTTGAACACAGCACTCGAATTTAGAAAAAAAAAAAAATCAACTGGCAGCCGCCCCACAGCCGTCCCCACGGCCGGCGGCGAGGATTCACCGGGCCAAGCCCGAGCTGCCACCCGGGGAAGGGCAGGATCCAAACTGCACCTTCTGCAAAGCTCCCGGTGCCATCGACGTTCCCCGCTCAATTCCTCCCTCACCGACCGACATTTTGTCCAAAAAAAAAAAAAAAAAAAATCCGCAAAGCGGCCAAAAAAGCCCGAGGGCAAAACAAACAAACAAACAAACAAAAGCCCTCCCCCACCCGCCACCCCCAGAAGTGCAACAAATTGGCGCGGCCCGCCGGGGGGCGAGCGCTGGGCCACGCAGCTCCGCGGTCCTTTGTGGGGAGGGCCGCGCAGGGGACCGCGCCACTGCGCCCGCCCGCCCGCCGGGGGATGCGGGACCCGCCGCCCCGCGCCGCGGACTGACGAGCGCGGCTGACTGAGGAGCGCGGCGCCCGGCCGGCGCGAACAAAGCTGCCGCCCCCGCCCCCGCCGCCCCCCACGCG